TATGCCCAACACTCACTTGCTCTCAGTTGGCTAAACTTGGTAGCGGCTTATGCTTTTCTATTCGAGTTATACTTTCTTCGCACCAATAACGTGTGGATTGAGTATATGGAGTGGTATCGGACCTGGCTTGGTCTCACGTACTATTGAGACGCACTGTTATATCACATGGTCGTCGAGCAAGCCGTGGTGGTCGATCACTATACCCAGTTGCACTTGTTTGACCCCGTTGAACTCGCAACTAATCACCAAGTGTAGTAGTTACGAGGGTTCCCATGGTTATTACGCAGATTATAAGGCTGTTGGAACCAAACACTCGCTTAGCGAGAGTTGGCCACATTCACCAACTTGTTATCGTGGTCGAAGATGGAGATCACATGGTTGAGGATGGCACCGCCAATAAGGGTACTGTTGCCCGCTTTCTCGGCCACAATCGCCCCTATTTCGCAAGTTTTGGCGTTTGCATCGTGAGGCATGAGGAAGTCCTTTAACGGAATGTTTAAGATCAAATCGCCAAAGCCAAGCTGAAACAGACTATCGGGAAAATTACAATCAACCTTAAAGGCAGGCCCGTTTCTTCTCACATTGGTGTACATGGCAGCGATGGGTTCCATGATCGCTTGGGGAAGACGGCAATGGCCGGCTCCAGTGTCCACAACAATGGGGTAGTCGCCGAAATCAGGGTAGTGAGTGACGCCGTTGGTGGTGACATTGGTTACAGGTACCTTGAAAGTATCCGGGTCGGAGTGGACGCTCCATTCTGAGCCCACTTTGCTTTGGTCGTAGCCCCCGAAGATCACTTTCCCCTTGCCTTGCTTGGTACTGTAATAGGAATTCACAATCGTGTGGTCAATGGCGCCGGATTCCTTGAGGTAATTGGGTAAACTCACATACTTTCTCGCCCACTCAGGAATGTAGTAAGCAAATGGTGCATTCCACTGTGACAACCCGACAATTCCATCTACTCCTTTGACGTTGTCAATCACGCCGAATTTGAAATCCTAATTGGTGGAGCCTTGAGTGAACGCAAGTGTGACTTTGACGTAGTACCCAGTTTTCAGGAATGAGCTAATGTATTGAACGTGAAAGGGTTCTGAACTGTTGACAAGTGTTTTTGATTGGTACACCCAAGCCACAATGTCTCCGTAATTTAACCTGTAATTTCCATCAGCTCATAAATTTGTAATCGCAATTAAGGAAGGGTTGTAGCCGTCTCAACGTCCTCCCGCCTTATCAAAGTTATGGTCCACCCTCTACTAGCTGTGCTGCACCACAAAAGCCCGTTGCCACCCACAATCACTAATCTACACCATCACAATTACAATAATCTTGGCAATTCCAATTAACCAATTGTGAAGCCACTACTCAATTTCCATTAACCATCAATTATGGTTGATTTTTATGGGTGCACGCCACTCACTGAGCGGGGGGTAATGATAGCGCGCGATCGTCAATTATACGGGAGGAGGGACCACGAACTATGAGAGAGCGCATTACCATCCTCAACCCGTCGTCAAGCCACGACGGAGTGGTCGAGGAGGTCACCGACGACCTGGTGACGCTCAATGTGAAGCCCGATTTCTTGATCGAGACGCGAACCACCGCCGAGTACCCGGAGTTCGACACCATCCAGCAATTGCGGATCCACATGATCGAGGACGTCGACCTCGGCAAATATAATGTCTTCAGCTACAATTACCTCACGGGGGTGTCGATCTACGCCCAGCCTAAGCCCGGCGCCTCTCCCGACGAGTTTTACGACGAGCTCGAGCATGTGCTTGAAGATATCGAGGGGGTGGCCGTCAATCGCCACCAGTGGATCCACACGCCGCAAGCGGTGTACTTCCACGACGTGCTTGACTCGCCACAACCAGGGAGAACCCCCGTGCTCGATACCTATTACGCCCAGGGGGTGAAAGTGACCAAGACAGTGGAGACGGCCAAATCGCGCCACCTCCACTTCTTCAAGAAAGTCGACCACTATACTGAAATTGGCCTTTTCCTCGTCGACGAAACCATATCCTCTCGCGACGACGTCGTGCTCTCGGGGCTCCGGTGGGTGTTTGACCCCGAGTATCCTGAAGACCCGCGAGACTTGCACGAGACACTTTTCCACATTAAGCCCCGCCATCGAGTATTAGCCAACAGCGATGCCGCCACCAAGATTGTACCTAACGGGCTCCACCCCATTGTCAAGACTGAGTTCCACGTGGCTCAGTTACCGAAAGATGACGACCTCAAACAGTGTCGTCTCTATTACTACGCTCACTTGACTCGCCACTTCATTTTCGACAAGTACCAGCTGGTACCGTCGCAGGCGTCGCTTGTGGCCACTCACGGCGAAACGAACCTTGAGTTACCGGAATATGCCGTCACCCAGGGCGCCGAGATCATGTTTGAGTTCCCGCTCAATTATACCGGTCCCATTGAATTGACGTTGCACCTGCGGTACCAGAAACCCGACCCCAAAGCCGCTGACGGCGTCGTAGAGCAGCTTGTGGTACCTCCCAAGTTGTTCTACGCTTGCGACGTCGACGACGACCACCTTTTGGCGAAGCTGCCGTTGGACAATAAGCGCCAGATCGGCGGCAACTACGAGGGGTACTTTTCGGAAGATACCGTGTTTTACCATTTTGCTGACGAAAATAGCGGCGGCCCTGTCGCCGTAGCCATACCCGTCGCTCACGGCAGCTACCAGCGGGTGCAGTGGCTCACTCAGGGCGCCCTTGTGGTGGGGACGCTTATGATATTGACGGCGCTTGTAGCACGGGTGTTCCGCTGGCTGAGAACGCCCAAACCGAAGCAGGAGTAGCCCTCGTCGGCGCTTAGTGAGTAGGTAATGAACGACGGTCGTATACGTGCGAGTGTGGGGTTGCCCTCCACACATTATCGCCGGCCACCCCAGAGGCACCCCTTTCTCGACCGGAAGTCGATGCTCTAGCTTTTCATGATTAAGGTTGACGTCGGCAACATTTCCCGATCGGGTCAAAATGACTACCGTCGCGGGTGGTGGAGATCCCCGTGGCAGCGCTTGCGTAATCCGGCGACGGCTAAGCCTCACGGCCTGCGACCTCGATCCCGTAGCCCCCTAGGCCGCATGCGATACTTAGTTACTCCTATACGCAGTAGAGTGGGCTACATCACCTGCCACCAGCTGTAGATCGTCGCTTGTCGTTAATGTCAGATGATCCGTGGCAACCGAAGCGATGGTCACGGGTGCCGCGACCAGCGCGCTTTAAGGCGGCCAGCTCCGCCCACCGAGCGAGGCCTCACGGCGCTCGGTCACAAACCCGCTGCACTTACGCAATGGGGAAGGTTGGGTGGTAGCGATGACCCGGAGTCAGACATCGTTGCTCAGCCGACTGTGGCAGGTCGAGGTGTCGCCGCCCGGTGTGACCACCGGCGCCGGCAGCGCCGAATTTCTTAGCTGCGAAGCGTAACTCCTGCATCCCTGCGTAAGCTATCGCTCACTCACCACCATCTCCACCATGGGCAAGCGCCAACAGAGAGACCAGGAACGGCAGCTTTTGGACGCCGTCAACGCTCGAGGCAACGACAACAAGTGCGGCGAGTGTGGCGCTGGCTACCCGACGTGGGCACTGGTGAACTTGGGGGTGTTTCTTTGCGGTCGGTGTGCGCTGGTCCACAAGCGGGTGTTGGGGCCGCAAGTATCCCACGTCAAGCTGTTAACGTTGGATACGTGGTCGTCCGACGAAATCGAGCGCTTAAGACGCACCGGCAACCGCAAGAACAAGAAGAAGTACAATTCCCAGCGGGTGCCGTTCCCCTTCGACGCCGACGATGACCCTTCGTTGGTCGACCAGTGGATGGTGGAAAAGTACAAGTACCGCTCCTACAGCGACGATGTCGGCGACGTCGACTCCTTCGACGGCGGGCGCCCTAACCGTCTGCGGCTGAACAGTTATTTGGACGATGCCCGCGCCGGTGGCAATCGCCTGCGCCTGAACAGTTATATTGGCAGCAGCACTCTTCGCTCCCAACGGTCCCGCTCCAGCTTTGCCGCCGGCAGCATCCCTCGCTTGACCCATCGCAAGCTCACCACTTACGAAAACACTCAGTACGCCAGCCAAGTGCGGACAATCCAAGGGTACGGCTACCACAACCGCGACTCAGTGCTCGAGGCGCTCTTGCTCAGTCTGGGGAACATCGATGATGCGGTGGAGATCTTGGAACAAGACAAACGTGTCAACCCCAACGAGGAGGAGATCGCTCCGCAATTGCCTCGCCGTCGACCCACCATCAGCGGTGCCGCCACCGGCGCTGGCGCTAACTCTCTGAGCGCGGCTACTGGCGGTAGCAGCGAACCTAAATCTCTGGGAGAGTGGTGGAATACGAATAACGCCGCTCCGGCGCCGGCGGTGTTGTCTACGCCTACTGGCCTTCCTGCTGCGTCGCTGGGCGCGCCTCAAATCTACCAATATACCGACCCCATCACCGGCCAGGTGCTGTATGTTGACTCTAATGGCCAGCAGTATTTGGACCCGCTGAACCCGCTCCACCAACAACAGTTGATGCAACAGCTGCCACAGTTCATCCAACAACAGGCTACTAAGCAGCTGATTTTGTCGATGTATAATCAGCAGGGCGCTCCGGGTGTGGGCGGCGCGCTGGCGCCAACCCCGGCGGCAAGAACCGGCCAGCCTCTGCTCAATCAATTGCAACAACAACAACAACAACAACAACAACAACAGCAGCAGCAGCAGCAGCAGCAACAGCAGTTCCCACAACAGCAGTTTCAACAGCAGCAGTTCCAGCAGCAGCCCATGGCCACCGCGCAACAACCGTTGATGATGCAGCCGACAATGGCGGGCTTTGGGCCTCAAGCCACTGGCTTCCAACAACAACAGTTCTATTATGGCCGCTAGACGAACAATAGAAGCAAATAGATGATGAGTGACGAAACACCACCTTGAACCGTAATTTTTCTTTTTATTATCTTTGTTTGTAGACACCCCAAGCGATGTCTCCGATTGGCCACGGGGTTTGATAATGGCGACTATCCATGGCTATTGGCGCCATTGTACTGGTTTGAATGGGGATGTCGTTAGAGATAGAGGCGGGGGAAGACAGTGAATACACGATGGTCTGATAACGGGGTTGGTTCAAGCAGCAGGGAACGGCCGCCTTAGCGGTGGTACGCTTTATCGTGGTCGCGTCTTCGTGACACAGTAAAGCCACAAAACACGCGGGTGACCCCGGGTGGGTGTCAGTGGGTGGGTGGTTTCACGCTTGCACTGAAACTAAAAACATCGAGATCGTACGTCGTCGTGTCAGAGTTTGTCGCTACACGACGGCTGGTTACGGGGTCGCCTCGTATAGAGAACGACCAGTATCAACACCATCGCCAGGTTTCCGTGAACGGGGCGACACGCCGCTAATGACATCAGCCGAGAAAACTAAAGGAGAGATGCTGTCCGGGCTCGACAATAGCAATTGCTTCGCTGAGGCAATTTTGACGGCGGACGAGGACGGCGCCAGATATGCGTCATGCGGTGAAGACAATCGTCCGGTGTCGTCAAGGTGACGAGGGTGACTGCCCTCGTCGACCCCTCGTAACTGCCAGGGTGACTGCGGGGAATGTGGGTGGTCCACGCGGGCACGCGCGTCCGGCAGTGGCCCCGGAAGTGTTGCACCGTAGACGAGGCAGATGCGCATTGTCCACCGAAACACCCGCTGGCCTTTTTCGGCCACAGCAAAAGATTACCCATATATATAGAGTGCATGAACCGCAGGAACCGCCAGATTTCAAGATGTTTGATAAAAAGTGTATGCAATGTGGTTGTCCTTGGAGCGAGCACAAGCAGACGGGGCTGCCTTACCTCAGACGGTGCTCTAACTGTCAGTGCAATTGCACTCGAGCCTAGAGGTGTCCCGCCCTGAAAAGCCATGCCGGCCATGGTTTTCCCCCGATACCCATTAATTAGTCTACGTCCTCCTCATTTTAATACACATAGCAACGTCATATTCGGCTATTCCCATCGACAGTGACCCCACTGCTTTCGCCAACTGCTGTTGTAGTGACAACCCATCGCTGTACCCCTGCCGATCGAGGATGGTTGACGTGGGAACCAAGTAAGACGACGTGGGGCTCGCGGCTGGTTGCGGGGGACGCCTCCATTTCGGGGTTTGGGGGAAGGCTCTCATGATCAAGAATCACTCATCGGGAGCGTGATGCGAAAGATGTGGTCTTCATCGTGTCGGACCTAGTGGTGTATTTCCTTCTCCTTTCTCTCCACCCAGATTGCTCTGGTGCTCATGGTGTGCGGGGATCTCGATCCCGCGTCACGTGGCATAAATTCTTTCAAGGTGCAGGTTTTCGGCCACCCCCCCCTTAAGGGGGTCGTGTATCTCCCATCATCACGGTTTTAAATCATCCTAGCTTGTGCTATCCTCCTGTATAAACAACAAAACAACAATGAGTTTCACCCGATGATTACGTCACTGCTCGTAATGAGCAAATTCCTATGATGAATTTGGCCATCGCCTTAGAGCAGAGCCAAGCCCTTGGCACTGGCCTCCACCACAAAGTATCTCGAAATAGCCGACTACGCTTTTACCCGTTCGGCTTCGTATACCACTATAATAACGTGGGTGGTTGAGCACAAAGCAAATAACCGAAGATACTTGACGTTTCTGTGGGGTCTCCAAGTGATCGTAAAGCGGTAGCCTCAAGAAATCTGCATCATGACGATACGCTAAAGGATGACTAAGTGGCTAGTTATTGGCGTCGAGGAACTAGTGTCTGATTACAGCTACAACATGGTGTGAATTTCGGCACAAACCTCGGTGCCAAGGACGATGATGAGACCCGCCTTAATTTAATAACTCTCATGTAGAAAACAAATATTGTGAACCACTATCAAATAATCAACTGCTATTGTTCTTGTAATCCTCACATTTACAATATCTTAATCTCATGAGCCCACTATTTACTTTTCGCCGATTGTTCTTACTATGGTGTTTGTGTACATATTCTGCATATAAACACCCAGGTGCTCGCTTACTGTGATCGCTTTTGGTTTTACAGCATTTAATCGTTGGGCTGAGATCGAGTCGATCATGTGGGTGCATACCTCAATCTACTGACATACTCGATCAACATCACGATAGACGAAGTCAGTGGTCATAGCATTGCCACCAAGGCCTCTTCGGGTTTAATTGTAAAAGCAAAGATTGTCATTTCAGGCATATATCAGGCGTATAGTGTTGGGCCAAGTGACCCTCGGTAGTCTTCGAGGCCGCCCCCACGGTCTCGACCTGAAATTAGGGCTATGGGCAATTGCGTCGTTGAGCAATGGGCATTGTAACGCTCGACAGAGCCTCATGTTGCGGCGCTGGAGTCGCACTTCTTCGCCACCACTTTGTGTCACATGCTATCGAGAGATCATCAAGAGATTGTGTAGTATCTCCGACGAGCCTGGGCGTGGCGGCGCCAATCCAGGCCACCACTTTTCAAACTATATTCTAAAATGGTTTAATTATTTATAGTGTAGATATTTCAGATTAGATATGAATTGTTACGTGATGGGCTTAAACGGTCAAATCATGTTGGCAGCCTGATGAAACAATTTATTCATACACTGCCATATACATGAAGTCTTGACGTATGGACGCTTCCATGATTCGTGATGCTGCCTGTGTGTGACGTCGGAGAAAATATAATGCCTCTTAGCTGCCTGTGACCCCGGTTCTGAGAAATAAAAAACCCCACTGCAGGCCCCCTCATGTAATTCACAACATGTTCGGATCAGTTTCCAAAAGAGAAAGCCACACAAACGCTGGATCAGATAAATGTCACCACGCCACCATATTTAGTAGCTGAAGGATCTGAATCCGATGATATAGCGAGCCTTTCGGAGAAATTCATTTCAGGGGTAAAGGGGCAAGGTGGCTGAGCGTTGTTTTTTTTTTTTACGTCGCCCGAAAGCTTGCTTGAATCAAGAACTCTTGTTTCTGGCTATATTAGTCCTGGTGGAGGCACCAAGTGTGAATTCTTGGGTGCATAATTATATGAAAAAATATCATCTACACGCTAAATAATATCCTGTACGGCATTTAGCGTCGGAGACAGAGGCTGCACCCGATAAACCCCATATATATTTCCCAAGGAGCCTTTCCTAATCAAAGGTCGTCCTCCGTCGCCGAGGTCGCACCGCCGTCAATTAATGGCCCGACAGCGTACTAAATACTCCCGTCCTTGCGACGGATGCCTGATGAGGAAAGTGCGATGCTCAGGGACGGTCCCTTGTGATGGATGTGCTAAGCGAGGCATGGACTGTACCCTGGTCCGGACACGAAGAAAAACTGGCCCAAAAACTAGTGCTGGACAGTATACCATGATGATATACGGTCAAGAGAAATTTGAGCTGGTGGACTTGGTCCCAGGGAGATTGCTCGCTCCGTGGATCAGAGTATTCTATGATGTCTTCGGAGAATTGCATCCGGTTGTCCCACTAAGCTTGGCGAACGAAATTGAAAGCTTTGAAATAGATAAGCGAATAACAACCAAACGCCTGTATAACTACGTGCTTGGTCTATTGGTGGCGGCGTTTCTGATGGCGAAATTGGGTCATTTTGTAATTGATGCCCATGATGAAGCTGGCGGGGTACCTGAATATGCCATACCTCACCCCTACTCAGGCAATATGCAAATGATGAGCCAACCTATTCAGGCCGTTGCCAATAATAACCTCGAGTACCTCATGGCGGATTACATGGAGCCACTTACATTCGAAGCATACATTGACACAGTTTCTAGTCCGTTAGTACCTCCATTGGTGGTACCACCGCTTCATGGATTGACACCTGAATTTCTTGTATCTAAAGCACAGAAGTTACAGGCTGTGAATTATCATCACACGAGAGTGAATGGAGCAATTGTTCTAGCAGCGTACTTTTTATGGGAATACGCGGTGTCAAAAATGGGTACAGCAGCTCTGATAAAAGCTGCTGCTGATCATTTAATCTCCCAAGCACTGAAGTATCCCTGGCGGCGGAAGAACACCGCTTATAATGAACCGTACCTGGAAGTACAAAGACTTTATGACTTGGTAAAGCTGGCAGAAAGAGTCACCAGAATTTTACTTGGACGACACAGTGTGGCAGAATTGAATGGCTTAATATCTCCTCCTCCAAACAAGTACTGCCACCAGTACGCTGCGTTTGCCCTGATTGTGCAGATTGTCAGCATCAGTGAACTGTTTCTCACTCAACCGATGTTGCTAACAATAACCGAGGTCGATTCCATAATTTGCGATCGGGGCCTGGCGTCACTGATCCTCCTTGTAATGACATGGAAATTCGCAATCAAGGTATTTGCCCTGGTAGAGCTGGAAGCTCACCCGTATCAAGCGTTCCAAGCGACTTGTGAATTTATTGATGCGTTAAGTCATATGCTGGAGAATTTTATTTTAATTTACTGTCGGGTATTGCTTCCCACGTTGAGGAGGGCACTCATAGTACTACCACCTGGACCGGCTCAAAGAGCAGTTCTTCTGGTAATCAAGAGTCTCTGCTATCATGGAAGAATTGCTTTTGGTCCCACAAATCATTTATTCTATGATCCTCTGCCAGGGATTTGGGCAATAAATCCCACGCTCGACTTTATACGGAGCTCCATACTATAATCAAACAGCTTAGCCTAGTTAAAAAAAAAATTATATTGATCATTCTGTTCTAGTTAGCCTTCGGCAAAAGCATTGTCTCTCCGAAAACTGGCCGCCCCGCATTAAACGGCGCATGAGTTGCCCCGACTCTTTGATCCTTCTAGAAGCCCACGGCAGCAACCGCCGCGGACGCATTATCTGTACACGCCTGCCTCAAATGCATGTACAACACGCTTTCTTTTGACAGCCTTAGCGATTGCGCCACGTACGCCTTGGACTGAAACCAACAAATCTATTGCATCAATGACGATACATGAATTTTGGGGACGCCTAGCTTCGACGATTGATATAAATTTGTGCTTTGTAGGTACGTTTGGCGACATCATTACCATTACTAGTGGCGGCTTACAAGGAAAAGGGGTTGTTACAGTACTCGGAATAACTATCCCCGCAGTGGGAACCAGCTATACGCCGACATTCGCTAAGCGGAGAACGCTATTTTTATCCAAATTCGTCGTACCTGCGAACATCGGGACAGGTGGCTTCGGGTGTTCTTACCAAGCATGCAAGCCGCACTTGTCTTGTAATTCTCGACCTCGCATGCTGCCTACTTCTGCCTACAAATTCCTGAGGTGAGAGAGACAGAGAGAAGCGGTGAGTCGGAAAATAGTCATCGAAACAGTCTTGCGTTGTGACCCAAATAGAGCCCTTTCTATCAACAGACATTTTAGTCTAAATCACGTCATTTTATGCGGTGTGGTGTGAACCGGCTATCACACACGCTATTTACCTTCTGCAAATGGAAGGCGATATGCAGAACTAGTTGTACGCCATGTTGCACTCTGCCCAACACCTTGTGATCGCATATATTTTCCAGACAATCTCTAATTTGTGTTCCTCTAAAACTCTATTGTATCTAATCCATATTACAGGCGTATAGAGACCTTTCCTTTGTATTCATAGAAGCCTATATCTGGTAACTATAGCTTCAGTAGTAAGCTTTTGAGTAAAATGCATGCAAAGTATACGCCTAGTCAGGCAACTCATATACATGCCTCCCCGGGTCTCCCGCTGTCGGAGTGTGGAGTTGAGCTGCGTGACGGCCCATCAACACGGAATAACTCGCATCGTGTATTGCGTGTGATGCTGTCGATAGTTCACAGAGACAATCCAGGGTCCCGTACGTACATCCAGAACGCGCACTTCTACTTGGTTGTTGTCAATTAGAAACTAGGAGAAAAGGCTTTGAAGTTCGGGCTCAAGATTATACCGAAATGTTGAGTTATTGATAATTTTTCCGAAGCCGCAGGTAATGCCGACGCCAGTCACCGTAATCAACAAATATCAAATACAATCGACGGTATGAACAGTTGGAGATTTGTCCATATGAATTCGAATGAATTGCTTGACTGGTCCGCCGGCCACATTACCTTAATGTGTACCCAAATTAAACGTAGACAAACATCAACGGTTTCTATTTTAACACTTGTAAGAGTTGGATATTAATAGCGTGGATAAAACTCCGCGGGGGTGACTTGCTGACTATCTCAAAAAATTTGGACATGAAGAAGCTTGGCAACACCGTAACCGTGACTACTTATATTTTAGAAGTAAATGCGTTGTGGGACATATTTTGATGCCATGCTCTTTTGAAGCAAACTTGCATTAACAGTGATCTAGGATTATCGAGGGGATTGGGGGTGGCAAGTATATACGAAGTGAGTTATAAGTCCGCAGCACGAATCATACCAGAAATTTCCCTAATTTGTGGGCGGCATTTCTTCACATTTTCCCCAGTTCTGATGAGTGCAATCCATATATAGAATTAGGAGGCACTTGGCATGAATGACCTCTACATGAGACGTAAAATTGTTTGGAGCTTGAGGGGCGGTCGACGGTAAGCGTGCTCGCCAATGCAACAATTACAGGCTTTCCTCATAATTGATGCGATTCAATGAGGCATCTTGTGGATGATCTATACTCAGCCTCACCACTGATAGCATTCCGAAAGCGCAAATCTAATTTCAAATGCTAGATGCTTTCGTGTACGGTAGTGGGGCAAAATAACCGTCAAAGTACTTTCGCTGTAATTTGTGAAGCCGATTTGGCTACTATTGACGAGTGCTAACTGACTGATAGATGGGGCTGGACTGACACGCCGAATTCCTTGGCTGATGTCACGACGGCATGAAGCGATGGAACTCCGGGCACCCAACCATGACTCACATGTATGCAAAAGCTGTTGTTTGCGCCTTCGACAGCATCGGCGGCGTGCGGCAATGAAATTCATCGAACCCGGCGAGGCGTAATCTGGAATATCTACCCAACACGATCCTGTGATATATTGGGAGAATCGCGGACATAGTCTGCTCGTCGTAAATGTATGCAATTTAGGCATTACACCACTCTCCGTTGGCCACTCGATCCTCCTGTCGTTGCTACGCAGACTCAGGTTACTCGACTCAAGTTTTGTGAGTGAAGGTAGAGCCGCCTTAGACCTGGGCAAAGTATATAGTTACGACGATTTGAGCAAGAATTCGAGCGGTGACGACGCGTCTAGCCGAACTATTCCTAAGTCCCACGTTACTTTTATCGGGAGTAGTGCTGGTTATTAAAATTAGTAGGCTTAGGAAATCGTTGCCAATAAATTTCCGAGTTCTTCCCGTGTCTCTTTTTTCATTTTTCGGGGTTAAGGAAGTCATCGTGAGTCACGACGATTGTCACTGTCAACACGACAGCCTATGCGCTTATCTCGCACTCGCATTTGTCATTTAAACCCCGATAACACTATGTGCACGCCCAATGCCCCCCGACCACGCGGGAAGGGTGTAATCAGCAAATCGGCGAGGCTAAAGCCCGAGAGCCCGGAACAATACGAGGTGACATGATCGCAGGTTGATCCACTACAGCCATCATCGTCTATGGCGATGGTGCCTGGTGCCCAGGCCCGGAGACCTCCGCGCCGCCCCGGCCAACGCCGACGCCTCTCCGCTCCCCCCGACCCTCACTCTAGGGCCACTCAAAATGTCACAGGGCAGTGTCGCAGCGCCAGCGTTTTGTAACCGCCTACACCCCGACAGCGTCGCCCCCACGACCCGCCCCCACCCCCGGGAGGCAGGAGGGGGTATATTGCTGTGTTTGAGCGATGACGACCCTGAACGTTTAGCCGAGGAGACGATAACACCGTTGGAAATCAGCGTTGGGGCGCCGCGATACGCTTTATCCTTAATCGGGAATATAAAGCCTATATAACTTAGGCTCCTGCTGTGTCTGGCAGGCGCCACCACACCTGGCTCCGACAGCGAGAGGTTAGGCGCTGGTGTCGGGGGGTATGCTTTTTTCGCGCTGAGCGAGACCCGTGTCCGGAGTAACTCGGAACAACTGCCCCGGGGCGGACAGCGGTGAAATTGATCATGTCAAGGGTGCATGACAACACCCTACCTCAGTCGTGCGGTTATGAAACTCTCCCCCTCCCCCTCCCAATGGGACAACAATTGTAGCGCTCTAGACAACCAAGCGCTGGGGGGGAAATAGCGATAGTTAAATGTACTGATTTCACTTGAAACGGCGCCGCGCTCCCCCAAGCCCTTGCTCGTAGATTATCGCTGCCGCCGGCGTTGTCGCTGGAGATAGCCTTGTCCCTTGCGTTCCCCACCACAGCGGCGGCCGCGCAGTGGTAGCCGGCGGGTGTCGCTGCTTATCGGCCAATGAGCACCTGCGATAACGGCGCTGGAGATACACGAGCGGGTCCGACCAGGCGAGGAACACCACCTCCGGGGCGCCGATAACGCGATAGTAGCAGCGACGCTGGCCCCAGTCTTAAGCCGGCGCAGATCCACCAGGCGGCAGCCCTGTTACCTACCTCGTTCGCCGGCGCTTCTTCCCCCCCATAGCCCCC